TATATATATATATATATATATATATATATATATGAATAGAAATGTCATAATTCCCTAAATATTATTTACAACCTTAAAACACAAATTTAAAATACTGGAATTAGATGATACCCCTGAATGCCGTATTATGGAATGTTGCTTAGGATTATCGGTTACCAGAGGTTGTTTCTCGTTAACAAAAGGAGTTGCAAGAGGTGATATGACCAAATTTTCCGGAATTTTTTGTTGCTCCTCGTATCCTATAATAGTTATTAAATATCACTTATTAGCGTTAAACATATCAGTAAAATTTACTGGACATTCTGGACGTTCTGGAATCTCTGTACCTGCTTCCCATCCAAAACGAATAATTTGAGTGGGGATTTCATATATATGTATGTAAATACAATCAAATCGATTAAAATGTTTGATGTAGTTGCTGACATGAAACTACTACAAAGCAGACATTAGGTGATCATTTCGACAAAGACTGCCTTGTAATTAAGATAGCATCCTACATAACGCTGACAAATTACACTCTCAAATACACGTACGTCCGTTATTATTCCGATAGCATTGTTTTATTTGCTGGTTTCATTATTAATGACTCCCACTTCTTCAATTTCATGCTCTTTTAAATCATGCAAAGATAAGGCTTCTACAGTATCCTTGAAGAGCTATGAGAACATTATTTTTGCCATACTGCCTCAATGTTAACAAAATGCCACTCTCACACCCTTCGAAGAATCATATTTTTCTCTTTTTAAAATAGAAGTGCAAACGATTATGCACACAAATGTTGAACTACGGGTCACCACATACATTATTCGATAAAATCATTATTGAGATCAGACTAACTGTCACCATAGGAATGAAATACTATAAAAATTATTTCTTCGTTATTTGCCGCCTTCAACTTCAACTGCCACAATCCCATCACGTACATATATCTTTATCCTTTTTTCCACCGCCTATCAATATGATGCGTGCCAAACCTCGGTGAAGCGGGTAACATAAAGCGATTAGCAATAATCAGCAAATAATTTACCTTCAGGCTTCGTGAAATCATCCGCTGTAGTGTTTGTAACAAGTGAAGAGCGCTTACCAATATAAACAGGTGGCCACTGGTATATCTGTGGCTTGTGCAGTTCGCAGTGACGTTTCAGAAATCCAGCTGATGCACTCCTATAAATACAAAATTTGGACATAACGATGTTTTTAAAGAAAATCTGGATTGATAAAACAGTAATATACAGGAACTATTATCAACAGTGATTATTATCAATCATTACCTGATTAACAGCATTATCATCATTACCTATATTATATTAAAAAGAAGCGAAAAATATGATTGAAATAGTTTAATTCATCATAAAAAATATTCATTTCCATAGAATTAAGCGCAAATGACATGTGCAATGCTTTTAGGGGAGCAATTCAGAAAAGACAAAACAGAAACCACGAAAGAGTATGGGTAAAAGGGAGATGAAGAGCGACAGATGATCCATACTGGTAACTTTCTTAATCACAATGGCATGCGGACTGTCAACCAGTTATAACAGGTTTGAAATATTTCACATCGGTTCCATACCCGGCTGATGGTCGTTCATTTAGTAAAACATATATAAACACACATATGTATGTATATTGGAAGCCAAAGATGATAAAAATATATACTTTTATTATTATTACCAACACCATTATTGTTATTTATTATTTATGATTATTACTCACTATTATTGATTTTCGATGTTAATTATTATTGTTAGTAATTAATAGTTATTGCCGTTTATTATTTATTACTATTACTATTGTTATTAGTTATTATTATACATCGCTACCAATTATTACTGTTATTAAACATTGCTATTATTACCGTTAATATTAATTATCATCATTATTAACCAATAATTATTAGTGATAATAACAATTATAATAAAAATTATTGTTTTTATTAATTATTACTGCTGTTATTTACCATTATTATGGATTATTAATTATAGACACCTTATTTTCGTACGTTCAATACAGAATCTATTTTAATATTTCATCAACAAGTAAACCATAGCTAAGTAACAGTACTGGAGCAAATGAAACCATCGAACAAAGATCTATTGGCAAAATTTAATGGTTTCACCGTGAAACCTGTCTAAACTTTGGCTAGACTATCGATGATCCAGCTCTTATCCAACAACTGTTTTTTTTTTTCCAGTTCTCTTACTTTCCCGATACCTTAATGCAACGAAATACTGTTTAATACCGTTTTTCTTTTTAATACCGAAATACCGTTTTTTGGGGTCCTATGAAAGATCAATCTCTTGTGCAAAAACTGCTCGACAAACTTCACATAAATATAACAGTTGAAATAAACATGCAAAAGGGATTATTGACTTAATGAGAGGTGTAAACTAACATATAAGTACACAAGGAACATTTGAATCCGTTCGTTCGACGATGTCCAACGAGATGCATCTGCAATCGATTCTGATCACGTGATATAAAAGGACATTCGATGCATGCGAATCCACGATTAGGTGCAATAATTGCGCCTGAAATATTGGAACAAATGGACGAGTAATTTAGCAAAAACTTTGAATTTTTACTTGAAGATTCTAAATATTCGATCGTTCGTAGAAACTAAAATAGCGAGAAAAATTGCGCAATATGCTGAAATGAACATATAGTAAACATAATAGTATGTGATATGAGCTTAACGATATTTTGAAATGTGTAGCACAATAATCATAGTTCAGTAACAAAATTAGTTATGCTTAAATGAAGGATTAAATACTAATTATTAAATATCGTTTAAGTTTTAAAACCATTTAAACCATGGGAACAAACCTGTTTTCTCATCTACTTCCTTTGTTTCCACCTTTACATTTTCACTGCCAGCAATTACCTGCAAAAAATGGATTAATTCCAAACAGGAAAAAAAAAAGCTCTGATTACCGACTTGTCCATTACCTATCGTTTCGTGAAAGATTATTTGGTGTTGAAATAAGTAAGGATCATGAAATGATTTTCAATGAATCATGCATAATCCCTCCAGAAAATGTACTCTACTAGGAAGAAAGGAAGGTAAACATTGCAATTTATTTTGTGGTCTCAACTGTGTTCTGTTTCATTCCACAAACTATAATTTATAATCCATACTAGTAACATAAATAAATACTACTGCTACTACTTTCTCTCTCTCTCTCTACTAAAGTACACACTTTACAATGTAATCAATCACTAAAAGTGAATAATGAGAAAGAAAAATATTTGTTACTGTTAAATTACGGAAATTGATGGGAAGAAACGGGACATAATAAACTTTTACTCCTATCAACGTCAAACACATTATAAAATCACCATACCAAGGTAAGATGGGTTGAAGTTATGTTTCCGGATGTTTCCTTGCTTGCTGCCGAATGGAACGCTTTATGCATTTGAAGAGTTTTATAGTTATCACAACTGTAATACCAATGATTTCAATATAAAAATAGATCGATGTTGTCTCTATTCTTTTAAGAAAAAAAAACTAAATGTGAAAATGAATTGCAATAAAAAATATCTTTCGTCGCCAGTATTTGCAATAAATGGTTTGCAAAGATCGAGTTTCAGAAGCAATCGAAACCTGACATGAAGTTTCTATCTGACAAGAGTATACATATCAGGAACCTTCACCATACATACCCGTTTCACAGTGGATTATTATTCGGATGCTTAATTGTCAAATTGATTTTGAGCATTACAAAGAGTCGCTCGTGATGAGTAAAATTTGGGGGCAAAAAGTGGTGAAATTTGGTGGTAAAATGGGTAAGAAGTGGTGAAATTTCAGAAAAATAGCACAGACAGAATCGGTGTTAAATATCTTATCTAAACATTTTCAGTTAGTAAATCTTATTTTTTATAATAATCTCACGGCCAAACTCTTGTAAGAAAAGTTTTGAAATTACTAAGTTCGTTAAATAGTTCGCCTGATTCACGACTGCATCAAATGCGAATCTGCAGAGAGAATGCATCACAAAACAAAAAAAAGGATGAATTGAAGAAATTTGCTTATCCATGATTTCTTTCTTTATATGCATATCGTTTTTCAAATAGCACAACAAATAGATAACTATTTGAATGCCTTATTGTTACATACTAATTTAGTGAATCGAAGTCAAGGTTGATGAGATGGATGACTGCATACTACTGTAACAGTAATAACAGTAATACATATATACATACCGGATATTGCCAAATATCATCGGCATAAAGTGGTTATAACAACAACCGTCCGGTTATTACGGTTAACACCCAGTGGCATCTCATAAATGGCCTGCTCCTCAATTTATTAAATTCAGCACTGCTATTATTCCTTTTTTTTGGAAATGAAAGAGAAATTGTAAATATACCCAAAATCGCAAGAAGCACACTTAAATCTTTTGTTAGCGCCATGAAGCTTACAATGATTGGCCATCCCACGACGTGATGTGAAAAATGATGGACAACTGCTGCAATGATATGCTTGCTTATCCTGAAATTTCGGGGAACATATACGATTACAGGCAGAGCAGTAGAAGCAACATGGATGAAAAATAATTGCCGGGAGAGCAGAAATACCTTACCAATGATTTATGTGATTGTTCCACACATCTGGTGATGGTAATGCGTTTACTATCTGGATTCTTTTCATTATCATTATCTGATACAAAATCCAAATGTCCTGGATCGGCTTCCCTGATGATTTCTGGAATAATGGTATCTGTTCCACTCAACATGACATTCCCGCTTCCAGATGATGAAATACAGCTTTCTGATTTGTATAACGATTTTGACACACTTCTTTGTACCAGTGGCTTGCGACTACTTAATGGAGTCTTCGCTCTCATCATCTGAAGTTTGAAAGTTGAGGTTGGATGAAAAATTTATTACAAATTTCCAGAATGCCCCAATAATCTTGTTCCTTCTTCGGTCTCGGATCTCCGCACCTCCAGAAATACTTCATCAATGGTTTTCCAGAAAAAAAGTTCAGTATACAGCAAAACCAGATAATTTTTGAACGATCATAATCTTATAATATTAGAGAATAATCCACGAAGGCTCACAAGATTGCAGTAAGTTATTAAAAGGTAACTTTTGTTTGCACTCAACTTTTCATCAAGTTTCTGCAGCATTCTCAGACAGATTCTTTTTCCCCCGAAATTTAATTAATTTTGTTATAAATCAATAAAGTATTTGGGAATTCCAACCCATTGAAGCAGCATTTTTAAACATCGACAACAACGCAGTACCGACCATACTATACCATACTTACCACAATACCTCAACTAAACCGTGTAAGATGATGGTACCATACTGATCTGTTAAAGTCCCATTTGATACAAAGAATATCTATTGTTCAAAATAAGTTACCGGATGGAAGCTCTATAATAACGTAGAAGTAATGAAAGTAAGAATTCATGATTTTCAGTACACGCTGAACCAGCTTGAACATCTTAAACAATGAATTATCACTTGTCAATAGTATCGTCAATATGTTATCTAACTTGATATTAAGAATGAAACATAATCTTGAATGATATATACCTAGCAGCATTGTTGATGCATATTTAATCAAATCTACAGAAACTTTTATCAGACTTTCCGAAATATCGGATATAAAAGGTGAAAACATGCAATCATCATGCTGTCAAAGAAGAATAAAATGATATAAACTTTAACAACAGAATTAGTTTGAATGAAGGGATGGAAAAAAGAAATCGATGAAATGTTGAGAAAACGCTAACATTATGAAAACAGCAAGTAAAAATGTGAGAGGAACGAAATCTATTTTGCAAACTGATAATGAGGATGATTTATTTTAGGGGGAAAAAAAAGATAGAATAATTAATTAAAGAAAAATAACGGGTAGCAATTGCATTTAATTTGCATTTCTTAAGTAACAGTTGCATTCTTAAATAAACAAGCTATCGAATTAATTTATTCAATAATAATTTGTCGTAGTAGCAATAATCAGATTTTCTCGCTTAAAGAAAAGTACCAGGAATGTTTTGAGAAATCCTAAAGAGCACTATACTATTAGGAGATTGGAATAACAAGGAATTCCATTTTTTTTTTTTTGAGTGCTAATATGCAAAAATTTTTATTTTCTACACTAGACATTCGACTAGCGCAACAAAAACAACGTTGACATTGATATGAGTGTTTTTTTTTTCGTTATTGTTATCAAATACGAAGTTAATTTTGTAGTGTCCTTTACTGACCTAACAGCATGTCCATTTTGAAAGACAAATAAATATGGGTCAACAGACTGTTCATCTTTCATACATGCAGCAAACACTAATTTAGCAGTACAAATGAGCATTGCTTGTTACGTCAAATTCACGTAACAAGCATATGCAACGTTAATGTTTGGGAGATACATTATGTCTATTTTATGTTTGCAAACAGATATACTAAAAATATTAAAGTATTGCAAATAAAAAGTGAAACATTGAAAAAAGAAAAAACAATTTAGATAACAGAGAGTAGCAGCAAACAGTATTAATAAAGATGGAAGAGGAAAAATTTGTCAATGAGAAAATTATGGATCAGGTAGTATCACACTTAAGCCATTACAGGTAATGTTTCGGTAATGAATGTCATTATGGAAAAACAAGAAATGAGATATTTCGCTAGTACAGATGAAACTAAAAAAAGTTAAAATCAGAAATTTAATTAGATCATGAAAACATACGGGCAAGCCTGGAAATCCTATGTATTTCAATAAAAGTATTTCAATCCATCCTATGTACTGCAATAAAAGCAAAACACATTTCTGAGTCACAAATGAATACCTTTTTGTAAATCCTACTTATTAATTTTTGATTAACTTTTGAGATTTCAATCGGTTTAATTACATTCATTCGTATTAATGTATTTAATGAATTATTTAATAATCATAGAAAAGTCTTCTGATTTCGGATAAGAATGACCAAAATATTCAATCTATTCAATGCTTAAATTCCAAACAAGCGCTTAATTCTTTAAAGACTTCAAGAACTTTCAAAAATTTGAAGTTTCCTTGAAATTGAAAAGAAAAAAATCAACTTACCTCAGCTATCTGTGATTGAGCAGCTACTGCAATTTTGGAAGTTGTTGGTGAATCATGTTTGCTTCTCTCATCGGTTGACTTCTCGACATCTACAGGTGACGGTGATTTGAGATGAATATGGCTTACTCGAGACTTAAGATAATTCATTCGATTGGTACGCCATTTCTGGAGCTCAACTTCAGCAGGATCCAATTTTTCCGAATTTATGTGATTCTTGCGACAATCCCAATTTTCTACTACATTTCTCGCACGTTTTCCACGTTTACCCATGATGGGTCGTTTCGATTTCATATATCTTCTATTTTAGAACAATAATAGATCAGCTATACTGAAAATACGGATGTCATATCCGAATGAAGGAATCTTGCTTTGTATTATAAGCATTGCGAGCATCGTTATCTCATATATGCGTAGCGATAGCCGTTCCGGAACATATTTCGTAATTTAGCAAATTTTACACGAAATGGAGTGATTGAATACCCGAAAAATGGTGATTACCGGAATATGTTGTCAATTATGGTGATTACCGGAATATGTTGCTAATTAATAATGAGAATAGTTTGCAAAGAAAAAACGAAACAACTCTTTTTTACCATCAAATTTCGATTCTTTCCTGATACCTTCCCACAAGTAAGCTTTCTCATCCGTTCTTTAAAATGATTTATGTTTGTAAAAATCGCTCTGAAAAAGAATCGATAAAGAAATTTCGGAAAAAAAAGAAAAACTGGTACTAATTCCGATAGTAATTCTTATGACCTGAATCATTCACAGTCTTATTAGAATATTTCACCTGTGATGCTTACATGATTCCATGCTAAATGAAACAAACTTTTCAAAATCATTTCCGGAAAATCTTTGCGAAGAAGAGAGTAACAATGAAATAAGGTAATAATAAGACTTCATTTTGAATTCTCTTTTGCTCGATGTGTATTTGCAAACTTTTTTTTTTTTTTTTTGGGAAGAAGTTAAAGAGAATATAAATGCGCAACTGGCGCATAACAAGATCTATCCTTTAATATATTGTATGACATACAATTTCAGTAAAAAGTATTCCAATAGTAAAAGGAAAATTAACAAATTCATTTCTAAACGATTTTCTGCTGCATGTTTTCAGCAATAAATTCCAAAATTAGAAAAGAATTTGATTGCTTTAATTGTAATAATTTAATTTTAGAGAAGAGATTTGCAAAGTGACAGCTTTGTTCAATCCGTTGGTATGGATACAGCATGGAATGTAAAAGATGACTGATCCCCTCCTCCATCTGGTTAGCAGTATTTCGAATATGCTATCGACTGTCAAACCTAGGATGATTAAATCAGTGCAATCAATAAATTAACAGCATAAACAATCAAATTAAACTTTTCTTACTTGCATACCTGAATAAAATCTCATACTACCTATTTCAATTTGTTTACTTTCATAATAAATTTATTTCTAACTGATCCTTACTATTTTTCTTATCACATACTTCATCAATGCTGGTCTTCAATCGTTGCAGGCACATTGCTTGCACTGCTGCATTACTTTATTTGCTATCACTTACTTGTTTACTACTTATTTGTCTACAAGTTATTTCATATTGTGTTTGCATTTACCTATCTCACTTACTACTACTATTTGCTTACTTTATCAATTGCTAATTCATTTATAACTTTCTACATCTCTTCTATCTACACAGCACAACAATTATTGAACAAAATTGTTCGTTACTTCCATCTATGAGTAATACTACTAACTTATTTTGCATATCACTCTCATCATCTACTAATTTTGCATATCAGTTATCATCTACTAATTACTTTGCACAACACTCTCATCTCATCTACTAACTTATTTTGCATATCACTCTTATCATCCATCAACTTATTTTGCATATCGCTTATCATCTGCTAATTTATTTTGCATATCACTATCTAACTTATCTACCATATATGTTTGTCAATGTCACTTATTATTTACGTAAAGGTAACTTTACGTAAATTAGCCTTCATTTATCCACCAATTATTTTCTTATCATCTTATCTATCAATTATACCTACCTGTCATAAACTACCCAATTGTAAACTATTCATTTACTCGTAAATTATCCACTTATATTACTGATACTCTTGTTTCAATACTCCCTCACTCACTCCCTACGTAAACAAAACGTGTTTTCCGTGTGCAACGCTCAAACTACCGCGGCTTCACGTACAACTCACGTCATTTACTTACCAAACTCGTAAATTAATTTGAAAAGCAACAAACATATCCGGTATGATGACAATGTTCATTCGAATGGGTCCAATAGACAGACTCAACATCATATTTTCTTCATCCACCGACCGACAGACAGACACACACACACACCCGTAGACAGACACATACATAGACAGACAGACACTCTCACATACATGACAACATCCATTCGAACGGGTCCCAACAGACGATCTCAAACACAGCAGATTATTTCCTTCATCGACCGACCGACCGATCGACCGACCGACCGACGGACAGACACACGCATACATACATACAGACAGACAGACGCGACTACGTCAAAGAAGGGCGAAAGAGAGAGAGAAGGTTTAGTAAAATATCTATAACTATAGATGATAGGTGAGATGGCAGCAATAGAGCACGTGTTTTGAAGAAAGACAGAGCAGTGTGATCAATAAAGTGAAAGTGGCCCATTTGCCTGAGTGTGCGCGTTGCAGTGGAAATTCACCATACTGGACTGTAAAGTGACTCCTCGATGCGCAACGACTGAGTCGGGAAAGCGGGGGAGCGAACAATAGTAGAAAAGGTAGCAGAAATAAATGAAATTTCGAGATCAGATAATAAACAAAACTTCGAATGAGAGATAACTGCTATAAAAGAAATATATTTCCTCTCGGATATCCCGCAGTTTTGCGCGTTCTTAGCTTATCGCTTTAACTATTTGCGCCCAAAGCCAAAACAATACTCATTACGTACTCCCAACATACATTTCTCTTTCTACAGTCCTAAAGCAAGAAAAACTGCAAGACGTTCTCAATAGGCCGTCACAGTTTAGGACAAACTTTTGGCAAGCATATTGACGTGAGAATCACGCAGGGTTGTTCACTTCGCTTCCTCAGAATCACGCAGGGTTGTTTACTTCGCTTCCTCAGAAACGCAAGGTTGTTCATTTCAATTCCTCAGAATCATGCACTTTGTAATATGTATGAGATGAATGATTGTTGGTTAACGTAACGCGATACGCTATCATAGAATCTGAATTGTAAGATGTGTGACCTGATATATCCCTGTACATCGTTGTCTTACTTTTTATCCCTTGATAAAATCTGTTATTAATCATTTCCTTATAGACGAAGGAAATTTGAAGTACATTTGTCAAAGTACTTCCATCGTTTGTCAGGCTACAATGAAGCAAGACTTTTTAGCTCAGCAATTACTACAAGGAAGTAGAATCTTGGCTCAACATTAGTATCAATCATCATGGCCTAAAATGATGTCAACTGAAGAGTCATTTCTCCACTTCTTGCTAATTACCAAATTGATAACTACTATATGTATTTATGATATTTGAATACCCTCTAAAAAGTTGTACCAATACAATGGCGTAAATAAAGTAACCACGTGCATAACATACGCCATGATTCGGTCAGATCATTTGAAGTACAAGCATTTGACCTTGTATTTCTCTCTCCCTCTCTCTCTCTCTCTCTCTCTCCT